CTTCCATTTTTATCTCTTTCTTTTTTGCGTTGCTTCTTTCCTTCTTTTTCTCTCTCTTTTAATTTCTTTTTTTTTTTCTTTCTTTCTTTCTTTCTTTCTTCCATTTTTATCTCTTTTCTTTTTTTTTGTTTTTTTTTTTTTTTTTCTTTCTTTCTTTCCTTCTCTTTTTCTCTTTCTTTTTTTTTCTTTTTTCTTTTTTCTCTCTTTTAATTTTCTTTTTTTTCTTTCTTCCATTTTTATCTCTTTCTTTTTTTCGTTGCTTCTTTCCTTCTTTTTCTCTCTCTTTTAATTTTTCTTTTTTCTTTCTTTCTTTCTTTCTTTCATTTCTCTTTCTTTTTTGCTTTCTTCTTTCATTTTTTCTCTCTCTCTTTTAATTTTTCTTTTTTCTTTCTTTCTTTTTTTCTTTCTTCCATTTTATTTTTTTTTTTGCTTCTTTCCTTTTTTCTCTCTCTTTTAATTTTTCTTTTTTCTTTCTTTTTTTTCTTTCTTTTTCTTTCTTTTTTTTTTTCTTTCTTGCTTTTTTTTTCTTTTTTTCTTTCTTTTTTTCTTTCTTTCTTTCTTTCTTTTAATTTTTTCTTTTTTCTTTCTTTTCTTTTCTTCTTTTTTTCTTTTTTCTTTTTTTTTTTTTTTTTTTTTCTTTTTTCCTTTAATTTTCTCTTTCTTTTTCTTTTTTCTTTCTTTTCTTTTTTTTTTTTTTTTTTCTCTTTCTTTTTTTCTTTCTTCTTTTCTCTTTTTTCTCTCTCTTTTTCCTTTTTTCTTTTTTTCTTTCTTTTTTCTTTCTTTCTTTTTTTTTTCTTTAAAATTTTTCTTTTTCTCTTCTTTTCTTTCTTTTCTTTTTTAATTTTTCCTTTTTTTCTTTTTCTTTCTTTCTTTCTTCCATTTTTATCTCTTTCTTTTTTGCATTGCTTCTTTCCTTCTTTTTCTCTCTCTTTTAATTTTTCTTTTTTTCTTTCTTTCTTTCTTTCTTTCTTCCATTTTTATCTCTTTCTTTTTTGCGTTGCTTCTTTCCTTCTTTTTCTCTCTCTTTTAATTTTTCTTTTTTTCTTTCTTTCTTTCTTTCTTTCATTTTTATCTCTTTCTTTTTTGCGTTGCTTCTTTCCTTCTTTTTCTCTCTCTTTTAATTTTTCTTTTTTTTCTTTCTTTCTTTCTTTCTTCCATTTTTATCTCTTTCTTTTTTTCGTTGCTTCTTTCCTTCTTTTTCTCTCTCTTTTAATTTTTCTTTTTTTCTTTCTTTCTTTCTTTCTTTCTTTCTTCCATTTTCATCTCTTTCTTTTTTTTCCTTTTTTCTTCTTTTTCTCTTTTTTTTTTTTTTTTTCTTTCTTTCTTTTCTTTCTTTCTTCCATTTTTATCTCTTTTTTTTTTGCTTCTTTCCTTCTTTTTTCTCTCTTTTAATTTTTCTTTTTTTTTCTTTCTTTCTTTCTTTTCTTCATTTTTATCTCTTTCTTTTTTTGCATTGCTTCTTTCCTTCTTTTTTCTCTCTCTTTTTCTTTTCTTTTTTTTTTTTCTTCTTTTTTTATCTTTTCTTTTTTTTTGCTTTCTTTTTTTCTTCCATTTTTTATCTTTCTTTCTTTTTTTCTTTCATTTTTTTTTTCTTTCCTTCTTTTTCTCTCTTTTTTCTTTTTTTCTTTTTTCTTTTTTTTTTTTTCTTTCTTTCTTTTTTTTTTTTTTTTTTTCTTTCTTTTCTTCTTTCTTTTTTTTTTTTCTTTTTTCTTTTTTTTCTTCTTTCCTTCTTTTCTCTTTCTTTTTTCTTTTTTTCTTTTTTTTTTCTTTCTTTTCTTTTTTCTTCATTTTTTTCTCTTTCTTTTTGCGTTGCTTTCTTTCCTTTTTTTTCTCTTTAATTTTTTGAGTTTTTCTTTTTTCTCTTTCTTTCTTTTCTTTCTTTTCTTTCTTCCATTTTTATCTCTTTCTTTTTTTTTGAAATTTCTTTCTTTCTCTCTTTTTTTCTTTTTTCTTTTTTCTTTCTTTCTTTCTTTCTTCCATTTTATCTTTTCTTTTTTGGTGCTTCTTTCCTTCTTTTTTTCTCTCTTTTTAATTTTTCTTTTTTTTTTTCTTTCTTTCTTTCTTTCTTCCATTTTATCTCTTTCTTTTTTGCGTTGCTTCTTTTTTTCTTTTTTCTCTTTCTTTTTTTTTTCTTTTTCTTTTTCTTTCTTTCTTCCATTTTATCTCTTTTTCTTTCTTTGCTTTTTCTTCCAAAGATCTCTCTTTGAATTTTTCTTTTTCTTTCTTTTTTTTTCTTTTTTCTTTCTTTCTTTTTTTTTCTTTCTTTCTTTCTTTCTTTCTTTTATTCTTTCTTTTTCTTTCTTTCCTTTTTTTCTCTCTTTGAATTTTTTCTTTTTTTCTTTTCTTTCTTTTTTCCTTTCTTTCTTTTTTTCTCTCTTTCTTTTTTGCGTTGCTTCTTTCCTTTTTTTTCTCTCTCTTTTTTGCGTTTTCTTTTTTTCTTTCTTTCTTTCTTTCTTTTTTTTTATCTCTTTTTTTCTTTTTTTTCCATTTTATCTTTTTCTTTTTTCTCTCTCTTTTTCCTCTTTTTCTTTTTTTTTTCTTTTTTTCTTTCTTTCTTTCTTCCATTTTTTTCTTTCTTCTTTTTGCATTTTTTTCTTTTTCCTTCTTTTTCTCTCTCTTTTAATTTTTCTTTTTTCTTTCTTTCTTTCTTTCTTTCTTTCTTCCATTTTTATCTCTTTTTTTTTTCTGCTTCTTTCCTTTTTTTCTCTCTCTTTTAATTTTTTTTTTTTTTCTTTCTTTTCTTTTATCTCTTTCTTTTTTCTTCCATTTTCCTTCTTTCTCTCTTTTTTTTTTCTTTTTTTTTCTTTTTTTCTTTTCTTTTTTCTTTTTTTATTTTTTTTCTTTTTTCCATCTTTCTTTCTCTTCTTTTTCTTTTCATTTTTCTTTCTTTCTTTTTTTTTTTTTTCTTCCATTTTATCTCTTTCTTTTTGCGTTGCTTCTTTCCTTCTTTCTCTCTCTTTTTTTTTTTTTCTTTCTTTTCTTTCTTTCTTTCTTCCATTTTTCCATTTTTTTTTTTCTCTTTTTTTTTTCTTTTTTCTTTTCTTTTTTTTTCTCTCTTTTGAATTTTTTTTTTTTCTTACTTTCTTTTTTCTTTCTTCCATTTTTATCTCTTTCTTTTTTGCGTTTTTTTCTTTCCTTCTTTTTTTCTCTCTTTTTTTTTTCTTTTTTTCTTTCTTTCTTTCTTTTTTGCTTCATTTTTATCTCTTTCTTTTTTTTTTTCTTTCTTCTTTTCTCTCTTTTTTAATTTTTTTTTTTTTTTTCTTTTCTTCTTCTTTCTTCCATTTTTTTTTCTTTCTTTTTTTTCTGCTTCTTTCCTTTTTTTCTCTCTCTTTTTTTTCTTTTTCTTCTTTTTTCTTTCTTTCTTCTTCCTATTTTTTTCTTTTTTTTCTTTCTTTTCTTTTCTTTTTCTCTTTTAATTTCTTTCATTTTTATTTATCTTTCTTTCTTTCTTTCTATTCTTTCTAATTTTCTTTTTTCTTTTCATTCTTTCTTTCTCACTTTCTTCTTTTCTCTCTCTTTTTTTTTTTTTCTTTCTTTTTTTTCTTCTTTCTTCCAGTTCTATTTTGTTTCTTTCTTTCTCATTTCCTTTTTTCTCTTCTTTCTCTCTTCTTCCTATCTTCTTTTATCTTTCTTTTTTCTTTCAAATCTTTCCCTTTTCATCTATCTTTTCTTCCCTTTCTATCTATCTATCTTTCTTTTTTTCTTTCTTTCTTTCTTTTCTTTCTTCTATTTTATCTATCTATCTTTTTCTTGCTTCTTTCCTTCTTTTTCTCTCTTATATTATCTTTTTTTCTTTCTTTCTTTTTCTTTCCTCATCTTTCTCTTTTCTTTTTTATTGCTTCTTTCTTTTTTGCTCTCCGGCCTTCTTTTTTTATTGAAACGTTGAACTTCCATTTTATCTTTTTTATTCATTTCATTCTTTCCTTCTTTTTCCTCTTTGATTTTTTCTTTTTCAAAATTCTTTCTTTCTTTCTTCCTGCTTGGTCATTCTTTTGTTGCAAACTTTAGTTCTTTATCTCTCACTTAGTTGATTCTTTCTTTTTTTCTTTCTTTCTTTCTTTTAAATCCCCAGATATCTCTTTCTTTTTTTGCAATTAGTAAAATAAAGGCTTTATGCCTTTTCTTTTTTTCTTTCCCTGACAGTGGATAAAGGGATTTTAATCTTTCTTTTTTCAGGCGTTCTTTCCAGTTCTCTCTCAATACCCGCGACAAAATGGAACTTTAATTGTTTCTTCCATTTTTATCTATCTTTTTTCATTTTCTTTATCTCTTTTCTCTCTGTTTATTTCTTTTTAATTTCTTTCTTTCTTTTCTTCCATTTTATATCTCCTTTTTGGGTTTATTTCTTCTTTCTCTCTTTCTCTCTTTCATATTTTCTTTCTACTTCTGTTATTCTTATCTTCTTCTCTCGTTTTCTCCTTCTTTTCTCTCTCTTTATTTTCTTTTTATAAAGATTCATTTTTCTATCTTTCTGCTTTTTTTTCTTTCCATCTTTTCTCTCTCTTCTTTATATATATATATATTTATTTCTTCCTGAATTATCTCTATTCTTTTTTTCCATTTCCAGTTTTAAATCTATATATTCTTTTTTTTCTTTCTTTCTTTCTTTTCCATTTATATCTTTCTTATATTTGCAAATATCCACGTTCTATCTTCTTTTCTTCTTTTAATTTTCTTTTTTTTCATTTTTTCTTTCTTTCTTCCATTTTTTCTTTTCTTTTTCTTTTCCTTTGTTTTCTTTCAACTTTTTATTTTTTCTTTTCTTTCTTTCTTTCTTCATTTTTTCTCTTTCTTTTTTTTCTTCTTTCATTTTTTCTCTCTCTTTTAATTTTTTTCTTTCTTTCTTTTTTCTTTTTTCTCTTCAATTTTTTTTGTTCTTTCTTTTATCTTTTTTCCTTTTTTATTTTTCTTTTTCTTTCTTTCTTTTTTTCTTTTTTCCCTATTTTCTCTTTCTTTTTTTCATTTTCCTTCTTTCAACTTTTCTTTTTTTCTTTTTCAGAATGCCTTTTTTTACGAATTCTCTCATTCTTTTTTCAAAAAAAAAGAAAAAAGTGACACGAAAATCGCTTTCTTTTATTCTCTCTTTTTTCTTCCTCTTCCTCTTTATTTTTTTTTTTCTTTTTTTTCTTTTTCTTCTTCTTCTTTTCTTCTTCTTCTTCTTCTTCTTCTTCTTCATCGTTCTTTCTTTCTTAATTTCTTTCTTCAATGAATTTTTTTCATTCTTTCTTTCTTCATTTCATTCTTTTTTTCCTTTTCTTACTATTTCTTTCTTTCTTTCTTTCTTTCCTTTTCTTACTATTTCTTTCTTTCTTTCTTTCTTTCTTTCTTTCTTTCTTTTTCGTTTGTTTCCTATTTTCTTCCTTGTTTATTTGTTCTTCATTCTTCCTTTCTCTTTTCTCTCCCTTTTTTCCTTTTCTTTCTTTCTTTCTTTTCTTTTCTTTCTTCCATTTTATCTCTTTCTTTCTTTCTTTCTTTCTTTCTTTTTCGTTTGTTTCCTATTTTCTTCCTTGTTTGTTTGTTTCTTCCTTCCTTCGTATCTTTTTTTCTTAAGTTCTTTCTTTCTCCCTTTTTTGTTTATTTCCTCCTTCCTTGTTTGTTTGTTTGTTTCTTTCTTTTTTTCATCCTTTCTTTTTCATCTTAATTTTATCTTCCTTGTTTTTAGATTTTTCGTTTTACGTAATAGTTTTATTTTTCTTTCTTTATTTTCTACCTCCTTCATTGTTTGTTTGATTGTTTCTTTCTTTCTTCATTTTTTCGTTCGTTCGTTCGTTCGTTCGTTCTTTCTTTCTTTCTTTCTTTCTTTTTTGTTTCCTCCTTCCTTCCTTTTTTATTTGTTTCTTCCTTTCTTTCTTCCTTCCTTCATTTCTTCCCTCGTATATTTCTTTCTTTCTTTCTTTCTTTCTTTCTTTTTTTTTTCCTCCTTCCTTCCTTTTTTATTTGTTTCTTTCTTTCTTTCTTCCTTCCTTCATTTCTTCCTCGTATATTTCTTTCTTTTCTTTCTTTTTTTTCTTTTTTTTTCTTTCTTTCTTTCTTTCTTTCTTTCTTTCTTTCTTTCTTTCTTGTTTCACCTCTCTTCCCAGTTTGTTTGTTTCTTCCTTCCTTGTTTGTTTCTTGTTTCTTTGTTTCTTTCTCCTTACCTACCTTTATTTTACAATATTGCTTATTAGTTTTCATTTTTCCTTCATTCTAAGTTGTTTTTGTCATGTTTAAATGCAACATCAATCGCCATCTTCTGTTGTCTTGAAATCCATGCATCTTTTATCCTATCATCAATTCTCCATCTTTTTTCTCTCACTTTCAATGTCTGTAACCCACTGCATACTTGTGAAACTCCCGCCTTGTTTTGGGGTGAAATGATTATAAAAAAAAAAAAAAAAATCATTTCTATCTTTTTTTCTTCTAAATAATAATAGGGGGCGAGAAATGTAAGGCCATTACATTTCTCGCCCCCTATTATTATTTATTCTATTTTTTTTAATACATTTTATCGCTTACATATCTCCTCCATTTTTAACCTCTTCTTTTCTCGAATGTCTTTCATAATTCTTTTATTCCAGCTTCCTTCGGTGTGTCACTCGAGACAAATTTCAAAAGACTGCAAAACAGTTTTCATTAACCCCAACCGACCCAGTAGAATCGTTCACCTGAACAGATTTACAGTTTTACAGTTCGTTTCAAAAACTACTCAGACATCCTATATCGAGTGTGTATTTCTCTTTCTTTCTTTTTCTTTCTTTCTTTCTTTCTTTCTTTCTTTGTTTTTCTGTATTCTTTCTTACTTTCTTTCTTTTTTTCTTTCTTTCTTTTTGTTTTTTCTTTCTTTTTTGTTAGTTTTCTTTCTTTCTTTGTTTTTCTGTTTTCTTTCTTTCTTCAATATTCCCGTTCTTTCTTTCTTTCTTTCTTTCTTTCTTTCTTTCTTTCTTTCTTTCTTTCTTTCTTTCTTTCTTTAATGTTCCCTTTCTTTCTTTCTTTCTTTCTTTCTTTCTTTCTTTCTTTCTTTCTTTCTTTCTTTCTTTCTTTCCCCCTTTTCTTTCTTCCATCCCCCCTTTGTTTGTTTGTTTGTTTGTTTGTTTCTTTCTTTCTTTCTTCAACCCCCCTTTTCTTTCTTCAGTCCCCCCTTTCTTTGTTTCTTTGTGTTTTTTTTTGTTTCTTTGTTTCTTTGTTTTTTTTTTCTTTCTTTCTTTCTTTCTTTCTTTCTTTCTTTCTACGTTGTTCTCTTTTTCTTTATATAGTGCTTCACTGCCATTGCGCGACAGACGTCTATTCCTTTATATCTTTGACCTGCACCATAAAGTAAATTCCGTTCATGATACTTGTTCGTTTTTTCTTGTTTGTTTGCTTCCTTTTGATCATACCGTGTATTTTATCTATCGATACACCACACCCTCCCCATGCCCGAATATTTTTTTCCTTCCCTTCACAGTTCATCTGAATCATAAATCCTCTTTCTTACGGTATCCGTCAGCATCAATCTCCGGCGTTAGAGTCACAGAAAGAAGACATTTTATCTCCTAGTTAAATCAGCAAAAAAAAAAAAAAACAAAAAAAACCCTAAAAAACAAAAAACAAAACAAAACAAAAAAAACACAAATAAAAACGACTGTTTCTCGTTGTTAGTGATCACATGTCTGTCCAGGAAGCAGTAAAAAAATGAAAAAAAAAGAAATGGGAGAATTCGAAAAGAAAACGAGGGAGAAAACTTGGAGAATCTCAACAACGCAGATATGGCGCAATTTTACGATAGACTTGACTTATCTTGTGATAACCACATACTTATAGAAAAGCGACCAACACACACACACATACGCATAGACAGACACATATATACGCGCGTGCCTGCTGGCGCACACGATTCTTACGTGTGCAATCCTTTCGATATCTTTTTCATATTTCACTTTCAAGAATTCTTTACAGAGCGGCAAATTGACAAAATACCTAACGACGTGTAAACACTTGGCAAACATATTGCTGGTAAAATATTCCAGGTGTTACTCCTTTGAAAGGAATCTATCTATCTATCTATCTATCTATCTATCTATCTATCTATCTATCTATCTATCTCACTCTATTCATATCTATCTATCTATCTATCTATCTATCTATCTATCTATCTATGTATTTTCGCCTGTTTCTATCACTGTTTTCATTTACTTTCGGCCGTTGTACGCTCCGGCCTTCTTCAGGATCTCCCTATATTTCCGAGATGAGGTATTGTAACTATTTCTATTATTTACATTGTTCGGACTGTTGGCGTCATCTTTATCGTCATATTCACGACGTTTCGACCGTTGTACGCTCCGGCCTTTTTCAGGATCTTTCTATATTTCTGAGATGAGGTATTGTAACTATTTACACTATTCACATTGTTCGAACGATTGTCATCATCTTTAGTGCCAGATTCTCGACGTTTCGGCTGTTGTACGCTGCGGCCTTCTTAAGGTGATATACGTTCGTCATTTCGAATCGAACCATTTATTTAGTCCACGAGAGTGGATTGTTCTAGTTCCACATGCCATGCCGTTTTCTGGATAAAGCGTTGGTTGAAGTAATCCAAAATTGACTTGGCCCAAAGACTTGTGAGTTCAATACCTGGCCAGAGCAGAGGTGAACAAGAAACTTGGAGAATTGAGTTACTAAAGGGATATAACTGAAACTGATATTCCCAGAAAGAGGCATGGCACGTCGAACTAGAACAATCTATTTCCCGTGGACTAATTTCCGTTCTAAATTCCAATGTGTATCACCTGAAGAAGACCGAAGTATATGGCAATGAAGATGAGGAAAACAATTCGAACCATATAAATAGTTCCAAAATCATTTTTTCTATTTTGGAAATGTTTATCTTGAGTTCTACCTTTTTTAAGCGTTTCACCGCAAGCAAGGAAGAAGCCACTAGCACGCAAGGGGTTACAAGGGGTTGCAGACAGTTGGAGCCAGAGCAAATAGGAGTGATAGAGGAAAGGATGGAGAGAAGGATAGGGGATAGATCAGGGCATCTGGAGACGTCGATTGACATTATATTTGAATAGTTGGAGATTATAGCTATCAGGGAAACAGGAAATACAGGCGAGAAGTGCGAGACATGAAGCTATTGGAGTAGAAGAGACGGCTACATTTAAGAGTTTCGACAGTGAAAGGGTGCGAGCGAGATGCCTGCCTAGTAGAACGCTTAAATTCATGAAGTCTGGGAACCAGCGAAAGCAGCTCTTCGGAGCAGTTACAATGAAAGTATTTGTGAAAAAGACAGAGAGAGGCGACGGCACGTTTGTAAGATAGCGACTGAAGACTTCGTGGAATATTTGGTAGGGGGTGCTGATTTTTTTTTGTTCAAGGTCATCTTGTTCCAAAATGATCGACCACGCCCTGAAGAAGACAGCTTCTATTTTTATCACTTTACCGTTTTCTCGTATTGTGTTCCGAAGTCGTCTATTTTTGTTATGCTTTGAAATTTTCTGGCCAAACCCCGAATCTTAAGACTGTGAAACATCATTACCGGGTTCTGGCGTCTTTTTTCTGAACTCTTAGCAACCAGGACCCAATTTATTATTAGATAAATAAGTTTAAACGTTCATCCGATGATTTTTCCTACAGATAAGGTTCTGACATTTTATTCAGGAAATGCAACTGTTCTTAAAGAAGATTAAACGGTCCTTGCTTCATATCGCCACTTTTACGTTCGTCTTGTAAATGGTCTTCCTTGATTAATCGGCCACAAAACAACTCATGTTTTAACGCCTGCTAGAAATTGACATAGCTTTCAACTTGACGCAGTCACCCGAATTTCAGCTAATAAAATATCTTAAAGGAAATCTTTGGGTCGGATTTTTCGAGACAAACAAACGGCAGTAACAGTCCAAGGTCTCTGTCCATCATTCTTTTTAATAGTATTCCGTTGTTTCTTCATACGATTCAATAACATCAAGGGGTTGCTTTTGTCTCTTTCTATTGCTCACCAAATACAAGGTGGTTATTAAATAACAGTAAGAGCGCGGTGGAGTAATGGATAGCGGCTCGAATTGAGGAATCGAGTTCGATTCCAGTCGGATCCATTACATTCACTTACCCTTGAAAAAAGGTATAAATCCTCTTTTTCTCCTCCCAGCTATGGGTAAATAGCAGGACAGACTGGATTTTATAGCCTTGTATGGCAACCGGTCTAGTTTGGGCTCTAACAGGCTATCTTGTCCAAGAAATACCATTTCTACTGCGGCTGCAGTAAATACATTGTGCCCCTAGAACCCTGGGGGTCACAGGATAAAAAAGGGCGTAAGAGGAGTGTATAAAAGTAGATATTATGAGGACATGTAGAATAGATAACGGTTGACGCTAGAATTGAACGGGGTTACGTTTGTAGTGATCGGGGAAGCATAATAAAAACAATTCAATAAAAAACAATAAAAAATATTCTGAAAATTAATAATAATACGAATTTAATAATACTTTTTAATAATAATTTAATAATAATAATTTAATCCATATTTAAACACACGCATAGAAACTATCTGTACGCCCACTAGAAATTAGATACGCACTACCATAAGATGCACACTTGATGCCTACACAAATCAACAAAGAGATTAAAAACAAGACAACAGAAATCGAGACAACCTCCCAAAATTTGACGTCGAGTTTTAGCAAATATTTCACACACAGTCTTACAACATTCTTCAAGCAACCTCGAGCTTGTTCAGTGCCTGGAAGGGTGACCGCTTGGGAAAACCAGATGCTTTAAGCTTGGATATGCAATTGCGTAATGGATAACGGCTCGGGATTGGAAATCGGTGTACCGAGTTCTAATTCCAGTCGGGTTTGTTATATTCACTTACGCGCAAATAACCTTGATAAAAGTATGAAATCCTCGCTTCTCCACACCAGCTATAGGTTAATTAGTAAGACTTGTATGACTAAAATATTCTTATCTCCATAAAGAAAAAAAATCGTACAATCTAAAAATAATTTCTGGCTTTAAATAACCTGAAAAGGGTTGATAATCTGTAGAAAACGAATCGATCAATAATGTGTCTGGTGTGCTTCTTGTGTTTATATATGTGTTTTCTTTTCTGGACATAAGGTGTGTAAAACCTGTACATATGTATATGTATATATCAGAGCGCTTTCAACTATTCTGTTAGCCATTGTCAAAGATGTTTTTTTTTTGGTTTTAACTGAATATGTAGATTTTTATATGTGTACTTATAGTTATAGTAATGTATTTTTTATTTTTCAAACACCATCAGCAGGTTGTGGCCCTGTTCAGGGTTGATACTATTAAGTGTTGGATTTTTGTTTTTTATTAATATTAATGCTTTCATTATTTTTATCTGTTTATTTTAAAGTTTTATATTTCATAAGAACAATATTTACGCCTATGAGTGAGACATAATTCACATTAAACGACTGAGTGCTTGATTTTCGCTTAAACTTAAAAAAGAAAATTAACGGTTCAATCAAATGTAAAAGAGAATTCATTTTTACACCAGAAGCAGAAATAGAGGGTAAATAATGTTAAAAAATGATATCGGTGAAACGTTATGGGATCTAAAGAAAAAAATACACGTAAACAAAAGATAGATACAATATGATGATATTCAATTCACTTGTATGGCATTGGGATAATAATAATTGACTATAGGAGGTCTGATCAAAAAGTATCGGAATTTTTGCTATGGTAATGAAGTACGCAGGGGGAAGCCGATCGACATAGATTGACATTGGACTGTGTCGCACATACACCGTATGGTATAACGCTCTCGTTCGCTTTCGATGTTGATAGCAGTGCTTGGAAGGAAAGTGTGTAGAGTGTGGTCATCTCACCATATCACAGATTTTCCAACAGTGACAATTGATTGTGCAACAGTTTTTGGTCAAGACCACCATTGTCTAGTTTTGATAATCACCATATTCCTACGATCTCACCCTTGCGATTTTTAACTCTTTCCAAAAATCACATCCCGCTTGAAAGGAACAAGAGGAAAATCCAAGAGAATGCGACGAGGCAAAGGCTCATTATGCCCAAAACGGATGTCCAAGAAGGAGTCTAAGAAAGGAAACGATGCCAGATAAAACATGTGGCTTCAGAAGGGGAGTACTTCGACGGAGATCAAATGCTGAATTGATATGTGTTGTAGGTTTTTCTTTTTATAGCACTAGTTCTGATACTTTTTAACGAGACATAATTTACACAGGGAAAATGCAATGAAGTACAAGATATATGGTTTCCCTATGATTATTATGTGAATGACATATTGTTACAGAATGAGAAGGCTAGGGTCAGAATGGTTAGCGATTGGCCGAAATGAGTCGTGGGCGAGACATTCTGGTAGTGATGGATCGTCTTTTGTTTTGAATATATGTCTAAAACGGCGCGAATTCAACGAAGGGTCTCAAGATTTCGGAAGCGCCGATATGTCTCCCACACCGAAGTTTGCGACAGGCTAATACCACCCGTGGAAGGATACTGAGCCAACGTGCGGCATGCGTTCTCGTCAGCCCTACTACTGCCTCTTAGAATTAAAGCTGCCAGGGTTAATAAAAGTAATATAAAAAGTAAATGACCCTTTTCGTTGATACCGTTTTTATTAATAGCGTGGGGATACCAAGACGGCATAGAATTCAACAGTGTTTCAGTTTATCGATCTTCTTGCTTATGATCTGTAAATCATAAAAATAAGGACATAAAAATAAGCAAATGAGAATTCGATAGGATAGTAAATATATAAAACGGTTTGAAAAAATGTTTTGCTTTAATATATTCCGCTGATTATCTGGCATCAATTTTATTTCACATGTCCTCCAAAACTCTGAGAGCTGATCTCTTCCCTGATCTAGTTCTAACAGCTACTGTCTGGCTCAATTCAATGCCTTGAAAACCAAACTAATTAAGTTCTATAACCACCGAGTGAACACTGAATTTCTGTTACGCGATGAACGAATGTTCTCTTTGGTAAGACCCGTGTTTTGAGCGCCTAGTGGAACTTAAGCCCAACTGCGACCTCAAATGGAACTCTTACATACGATCTATCGCCAGCGATGAAGGAAAAATGGTCGGCTCCCTGTACCGCTCCAGTAAGTACCTGACGCCTCCTGCTACTCTATACCTTTACAAGAGACAGATCAAACAGAAAATGAAATACTGCTGC